CCTTTTTTGCTGCTTAGTTTGTGAGATTCGGATATGTGCGCACTGGGTGTGATATAACTATCTTATTGCTAACGTCGCCTTCTTTGATAACTTTTTGGTAAATAAACATGTTTGTTGTCGTTATTTTTTGTGTATTCACTATATTGTATTGAACAAAATGGTTATGCGTCCCGCGCTTGTCATTCTCTCAATTATCTGGCCCGCTGTGAAAAAAGTTTGGTGACCCCTGGACTAGAGAAAAGGCAGTTAGTTAGTTTTGGAATTTGAGTAAAGGTGCTCGAGAGCTATCTGCGATAGCCGTCCCTAGTATAAATGTGATAAACTAGAGACAAGACGACTAGTCAACACCACTCACCGCCAACTCTTAGGCTGCTCTTTTACCAACAAAAAGACTGTCACATTATAACGTCCTCTCAGCCTGAAAGCCCGTCACCTGCGAATTTCGAGTCGAGGTTTTTTAATCATCAGGTCATGCCAGGTTTGGGAAACAGAAGACAGAACCGAAATGCCATTTTTACACATCTTTGATTTTGAGCCGCACTCTAGAAATTCTCTAAACTGTATCGTGTTTATAAAATGTCTGAATGTGATTTGAATTCAATATCTTACATTTGTGGGTAAATTTAAGGCGATAAAATGGACTGCTGTAAAAAATTAATACTTTTAAGAAAATTAAGGTATTTACTTGCCGCTCCCGGTGACTCAGTGGTAAGTTTATTAAAATCTGGTTTTCGATACCGCGTTGGGTAGAGCACGTTTTGGTTTTGTGCTTAATAACAAAAAAATAAAATAAACAAATGTACTTGCAAAAGTATGCTTCCATTGGTTTTTTGTAAAATATTTTGTAGCTTTATGTATCTGACACAATTTTACGATATTTATTTATAGCTCGGCATGGCCAGGTGGTTAAGGCATTCGACTCGTAATCTGTGGGTCGCGGTTTTGAATCCCCGTCTCTCCAAACAGCCGTGGGGGCGTTATAATGTGACGGTCAATCTCACTATTCGTTGGTAAAAGAGTAGCCCAAGAGTTGGCAGTGGGTGGTGATGACTAGCTGCCTTCCCTCTAGTCATACATTGCAAAATTAGGGACGGCTAACGCAGATAGCCCTCTTGTAGCTTTGCGCGAAATTCAAAAACAATTTATATATATATTGACTTTTCACTGAAACCAAAACCAACTTTATTCTGAGGATTTTACTGTTTCTTATATGCTACGAATACTGTAAGCTACATTTTTTAGGATACCAGTATATTAAAGATTTACGCTTTTATAAAATCAGAAACTATTTTTAAAAAATCTTTCTTGTTTGATCATGACTGTTTTAGTTGATGTAATTGTTGTTTTTTAGCGCGAAACTACACAATGGGCTATCTGCGCTCTGTCCACCGCGAAGAATCGAACACTGAATTTTATCGTAGTGAGTCCGTAAACTTATCGCTAATCCACCAGTGGGCTAGTTAATGTCAAGAATGTCTTCTATTGAAATATTGAAGACACATAAATCAACAATTGATAATTGTTGAAGCTGTAGTTATACGGGAAACATAAGTTACATAACTGAGTGTCATTCATAAACTAGACCATAACAAATTTTCCTCACGTATCTCTAGCGATCACTTTTCCAGTAAAAGAAAGGTGCTTCAGGGACTTGGGCCATTTCTTTTCTTTGTTTAATAAATTTCCATTTTTTTATTATCATGTTAAACTTGTAGGTTCATAGTTACCACAACATCATATGTCTCACATGACTGCGGTATTTGGTGAATTTGAGTTTAGTGACGTCAGTTTTCCGTTACCTCCACGGCGGTGCGCATTTGACTGTCTTTTGTCAATACTTTGGTAAACGTGGGCTGCTGTTGCCGTTTCATACATCCGTCTTTCAGTCAAGCTGGACTTAGCTTCTCACGTCGAGCTGACTCACGCTGTAACGCTCTGTTCAACTGAATCCAAGGTTTTTGAAACTTTATCAGTAGCAGTAAGGACTTGAAAACAATATATATATTCATAGCATACTACTGTTCATGATTGCAGTGCTTGAGATGGAAAACAGACTTCATCCAGTAACTTCTCAAGACAATGAATTTATGAATGATTTGAACAATAAGAGTAGTTCTGCGACTCCTGATAACTTCACTCATGTGGAAGACGATTTGTACGAAGTTCCAGTTGGTATAATTGTCCTCTTGTCCACGTGCTATGGGTCGATTTCTCTCGTGGCCGTTGTTGGCAACTTCTGTGTTCTATGGATCGTCGCTACAAGTCGTCGAATGCAGACTGTCACAAACTTTTTCATTGCTAATCTAGCCTGTGCTGACATCATTATTGGACTTTTCTCTATCCCTTTTCAGTTCCAAGCTGCTTTACTTCAACGATGGGTATTGCCCAATTTCATGTGCGCCTTCTGCCCATTTGTGCAGGTTTTGTCCGTGAACGTAAGTATTTTCACTCTTACGTCCATTGCTCTTGATCGTTATCGAGCTGTAATGTTCCCGCTAAAAGCCCGAACCTCCAATCTTCGGGCAAAAGTTGTCGTGCTCAGTATCTGGGCTTTTTCTGCTGGCCTGGGAATCCCCAGTGCCGTAGCTCTCCGTGTAATTTTGAAATACGACCCTGCCACTGGAAAAAATTCAAAACCTTTCTGTAAAAATTCTGAAATTTCACCCTTGATATGGAGAATGTACAACCATATTCTTGTGTCTCTCCAGTACTTTGTTCCTCTGTTTATTATCAGCTACGCTTACATTCGAATGAGTATAAGACTAAGGCAGAACCAGACTCCAGGAAATGCTCAGGGACAACGAGATGAAAACATTCTTCGAAATAGAAAAAAGGTATCTATCTATCTATCTGTCTAACAAAATAAAATAATTCATTTTCATAGCAGTATAGTATTCAATTAACTTATTTTTTATTACAATTATATATCTAGTATAAATTCATTTCGTAATTAGCAGATAAATACTTCATTTAGCGATAAAACATATTACAATTAAGGTCATCATTTATGTAAACTTATACAAAACAAAAATATTAATGTACACGATGAAATTATTTTGCTAATCATCCCGAATTTAGAGATTTTCTTATTAATGATTTGGTGATTTAAAATGATTTGATAAAGTGAAGTATCACTTTCGTTGTTATTATATTAACACACACACATATATATATGCAGAGACGCACATTTACCCATCAAAACGAGAAAAAAGTAAGACTTAAGAGGTTTTGAATAACATTACTAAGAGCATCACACTTTCATTTAAATTGTTAACACTTCTTTCTTCACACCAATTCTAATAGTACTTTGTGGTAATAATTTGATAACAATTATAATGAATTGCATTGCTTCAAAAAAGTATATTGCTGGCGATGATGTATTAAAATAAATAAACAAAACTTAGATAAATAAACTGCTTTACATGATAAATAAAGCTAATTTAATAAATAATAATTATATGTTACGAAGAGGTGCAGAAATATTTGAATGCGTTTTCTGAAAAAAAAAATATCTTTCAAATGCTAAAAAGTGAAGATGTGAACAATATAAATAACCGTATTAACTAACAGGTATAGAGAAATCAATAAGAAAAAATACAAGCCGTTTCGATCGTGTCTCACAGACATGGATATCATTAACCCCCAATAGCGCTTCACATAACACCTTCTTCATCTCCGGACTAACCTCATGATTTATGACTTTATCTTGGAGTAAACACCTCCATGAATTACTTTCAAATGGGGATTCCTGTCAAACCGGGCTTTAAGTCTTGAATTGTTTCTACACGTTTGGTTAAATAGAGCTCATCTACATGCAAAGTTCACTGAAAAAGGAAAAAGTTCAATTTGATTTAAAGCTCTTTTTGGTCCACATTATTTGTAAATACATGTTTTAGGAAGCAAGAAAAACTGTTCCATCAATAAGTGCTGAGGCAGTTTCGCTACACACGTAATTTTCGTTAGACAGAACTGAGTGTAAGTACATTTCATCCAGTGTATGCAATGTACCTTAACAATATCGTCCAGTGAATATCTTATTCATTTTGATCCTATTTGGTGTGAACATAGAATGTCAACTTAGAATAGATTATTTTTGGTATATATTTACATCAAAGCAAGCAGTACCAAGCAATTAATCAATGAATTAACAACTTATTTACTCTTTACTGTTATTGCTTTCGGTAATAAAAAATAATTAGTATTATTTCTTCTTACTTCCTCTTCTAACTGTAGCAAAGCGTCAGCTGGTCAGTCATACCTAAATTTCGCGTGGGGATATGGGTTCCAAAAGGTCAGTTCTTGCCTCGTGAAAACAAACTGTAACATCACTGTTCCCACAGATGCTAGAATAAGGCATCATAAAATTAAACACATTGATTATTGTGCGCATCATCTTAAGATTTCAGTTAAGTATCAATATTTCTATTTTGTATGTGCTATTGCCTTTACACTTTATTTATGTACC